CCCTCGATGTCCTTTCAAACTAGCCGCATTTAATGTGCACACTCTGATGCGTAAAGAACAACAGGCCGGTTTAGCTCGTACGCTCGAGACCCTGGCCATCGATGTGTGTAGTATCCAAGAGACTCGCATTCAAGACTCCAGCTCCATTATCCGATTGAAGTCCCTATCAAACCCATCAGTGAAGTTTCACTTACGCCTCCTTCTGGACCCTGCGGCTGGGACTTCCGGTCTTGCTGGTTTTGGTGTGGCTCTCAGTGAAGGAGCTGAAGCCGCGCTTCTGAACTGGATCCGTCGACAGTAGGTTGTGCGCAGTGAGAATAAGAGGCTCGTGCAAAGTAAACAGCCGTCGCCCCGATAGACGAAACGTGTTTGTCGACTATAGCCCAGATGCAGTAAAAGATAAATTTTATCATAACCTACACGACCTCTTGCGTAAAGCGAGTCGGGCTGATATCGTGATTTTAGCAGGAGACATGAATGCTAGAGTAGGCCAACTGACTTCGAGTGAGGCGCATCTGGGTGGTCCTTTCGGACTAGATTCCTTTCGCTCGGAAAATGAGGAACGGTAGTTGGCTCTTTGTTCCGACCACCGCCTATTCCTCACCAGTAAGAATTTCAGACACTCCAACTGCCGTTACGCCACTTGGTGTCCGCCCTCCTCGAGTCAGATACGGACGCAGATTGATCACATCGCTATAAGATACAAATGGTGGGGTTGTATACAGGACTTCCAATCGTACTGGGGCACCCCCCTCGAATCCGTCCACGCGTTAGTTTGCGCCAAGCTGTCCATGTGCTTCGGTGGGCGTTCCAAACGCTTGACACATCGACGGTTAGACTATGATCAGTTGTCTGAACCAGCACACCTAACTGTCTTTCAGAACGCGCTAGTTGAAAAGCTAGAATCAACCCCACTCGATGACGCTAACCAGCACTGGTCGCTTATCAAGAATACCCTGCATTCTGCTGGCTTAGTTAGTTGTGACACCGTGACACCCTGGATTTCTGCGGAATCTCTACGGCTTCTCGAAGTACGCCGATCAGTCCCGACCGGCAGCGAGCATGATGAAATACGACAAGCAACGAGTCGTAACCTCAACGTAAGCCTACGCAGAGACTGTGAGATCTGGTGGACTAAACGCGCGTCATAGATGGAACGTGCTGCCGCCATAGTAAATTCCCGTAAGCTGTTTCATCTCATCCGGGTCACCGATAGGAATGCCTTAGGTGTGAACGAAACAATCTGCGAAGCTGACGGTCCGCCCATTCACAATCAACAAAGACGTCTTGAACGCTGGGCGGAGCACTTCCAAACACAGTTTAGCTGGTCTTCAGCGTCAGCTCCTCACACAGCTATCTCGGCACACGTCCCATAGTCTGTCACAACAGACCCACCTTCTGAGGCGGAAATCCGTAAGGAGATCCAAGCCTTGGGTCGTCACAAAGCACCGGGCTCCGATGGCCTTCCCCCTGCTCTATTTAAAGATGGTGGAATAAAGCTTGTTAGAGCACTCCACGTCCTGTTCTCCAAAGTGTGGAACACTGAACAAGTCCCCTCGTGGGGGTAATCGCTTGTTGTCCCCATCTTCAAAAAGGGCCCGCGCAATGACTGCGCCAATCACAGGGGTATAAGCCTAATCCCGATAGCGTCGAAGCTGTTGGCGTCCGTCATTCTCCGCCGATTGTACATTACGTGTGAAGAGCAGACCCGTGAAGAGCAGGCTGGTTTTCGCGCTGGTCGTGGATACATTGATCAAATCTTCACCCTCCGACAGCTGCTAGAGCACCGTCATGCTCACCAAAGACCAACGGTCAGTGTATTCTTAGACATTCGCGCGGTCTTCGACTCTGTCGATAGGACCGCACTATGAAACTGTTTGTTGAGGAATGGAGCACCTGAGAAGTATGTGTCGATCCTCAAAGAGTTGTGTCGTCATACCTCAGGTCGGGTTAGGGGCCTATAGCCAGCTTTCGCCGTCTCCAGTGGAGTTCGACAAGGCTGCCCTGTATCCCCATTCCTTTTCAACTTTTTCATAAAGGATGTTCTACAGAATACTTTGTCCGGTCTAGCCAACGGTCGAGTCGAACTCCTCCCAGGGAATAGAGTTCTTAACTTGGAATATGCTGATGACATCGCCTTGCTAGGTGACAACGCAGGCAGTCCAAGACGCTTTGAACTGCTTGGCGATCGAGGTATTCAAGTATGGTATGTGCTTTGCACCTTCCAAGTGCAAAGTGCTGGTTCAAGACTGGCAGGAGCCTGTGCCTGCACTCACCCTCTGTGGTGATGAGCTAGAAGTAGTTGAGAATTCGGGAGCTTGATTGCAGCTGGTGTTGGTGTTGGGGACGAGATCACATCACGAATAGCGAAAGCTAGAGTAGCTTTCGCCATCCGACATCTTGGCGCCGCCATGACATCCGACTGTCCCTTAAGGGAAGGGTGTACATCGCCGCAGTTCGTAGTGTTCTGCTTTACGGCTGCGAGACCTGGCCTCCGAGCGGAGGACGCTAATCGACTTTCTGTATTTAACCACCGATGTCTTAGAAGCATTGCTCGTGTCTGGTGGGAACACCGGGTGAGCAATGACGAGGTCCGTCGTCGTGTGTTGGGTGCGGATAGTCGTTCTCTAACAGAAGTAATC